TTCGACATTGTCTGGAAATAAGAGTTTCGTTGAAATAAACTTTGTTGTAACCATTGATTTTCATTATGAACGTACATTGTGGAATAAATCTGACCGATCGTACTTGTCATCCTTTTTCATTCGTTCATCGAGTTTCTCTCTGAGAATCAGAAATTTCGTTAAAGTTAACTGATGTTGATTTCTTTGATTTTCAATATAAAATATTCTCGAGGGGGAAAAAAAAAAAAAAACTAAACAATGTCGATCATCCTCGTCATTCTTTTTCATTCGTGTACAAACACGATTATCTTCGTGAAGAGAAATTTCGTTCAAGTAATTTTGTTGTTACTTTTGATTTTTTTTCTTTTTTTTTTTTTATCGAATATGAAATATCGTTGAGAAAGGAAACTAGCCGTGAAGGATTAAGATCTGTTTGATTTTCAATGCAAACGTTTTCTTCGAATAAAATAGAATTAAATTGATCATCCTCATCATCCTTCCTAATTCGTTCGTCGAGTTTCTCTGAGAAAATAAGAGGTCGATCAAATTCATTGTTGTTTCTTTCTTTCTTTTATTCTTTTTTGATTTTCAATAAAAGTCATTTTAAATTTTTGAATAAAATCATTCCACTTGAAAAATAAAGAATGAAGGAAGTTGAATGAAAAATGTCGACGGTCGTCATCCATTCATTTTCATCACTTTATTTTTTCTTTTTTTTTTTCTCAATTCGATCGCAGGAAATAAAATATTTGTTATTAAATTTATCTTCGAAATTATCATCAATAAAATTATTCGCACGTGCGAATAGAAATAGACGATAAGAAATAAGGAATGGCAAGGTGACACTTATAATCCTAACTTTTTTTTTATCTTTTTCTCGGTTCGTTCTATCGACAGAAAAAATACTTAATGAGAAACTATTTCTCGTAATATACGTATTTCGATAAACAGGACTCGTGCCGGTTTCGTTCCATCTCTCTCTCTCTCTCTCTCTGTCTCTCTCTCTTTTTCTTTCTCTCTTTTTCTCACGAGTTACAAGTTACGAAGAAATGAAAAGGAACGTTCAATTCGTTCATCGCGCTATTTCGCGGAAGACGTTCTCAAGAAGGACAGAGATGATACGTAATTAAAGTCCCGTAGTTGGATCATTATACCGCGTGGCCGATAAATTACGACTTTTACGACGGGGGTTCAATTCGCAAGGCCGAATCCTCGTCATCGTTCGGACATATTCGGACAAAATAAAAAAAAATGTCGACGAAGAAATAAAACGAAAAAGGAAGAAAGAAAGAAAGAAAGAAAAAAAAATGGTAATAATAATAATAATAATAAAAAAAGGGAAAAAAGAAAAGCAACGAAGAAAAAGAAAGAAAGAAAGATGCTCGCGTTCCTTCTCACCGCTTCTGCGGAAATCTCGACTGTGAAGGCTCATCTTTTCGTCGCGTATCAGACGCTTTAAAGCGCGCAGATATCACGATCGTTACGCTCGAAGATGGCGTCGGTAAATCGTCAGCTTTACGATCCTTCTGTAAAACCGGCCGGTACGATTTGATGATACTCCTCTGCTCTCTCTCTCTCTCTCTTTCTCTCTATTTCTCTCTCTTTCTTTCTCTCTTTCTCTCTTTCTCTCTCATTTTCTCACTTTCTCATTTCTCTTCGTAATTTGGTAGCTATCGAAATTTCTTTTTAAGTTGCCTCAACTCACCGCCTTTATTTTATCGCTTTAATTCTCTT